ATTGAGCATGCTTCAGCTTTCAGAAAGACCAAGGTTGATCTTGGACTTGAACTCCACTTTTCTGCCAGCTCCCCATATTCCTTGATTCCCCAGAGATTGGAAATCATATCAGCTGTTGCACATATTTGATCCATAATTGATGTATTTTAAATGTTAAATTTAAGATAAATAGAAACCTCTCTGGCTGTGAAGTGGCAAGCAACATTCACGCCATATAAATGCTGGGCAATAACCATCTCCAATAAGACACAATTTAACCATCACCCCTTGACATTCAATGGTATTACTGTCATTGGATCTCCCACTATCAACATCCTGTGGATTACTATTGACCAGAAACTGAACTGGACTAGCCATGTAAATAGTGGCCACAAGAGCAGGTCAAAGGCTAGGATCACTGCAGTGAGTAATTCACCTCCTGGCTACCAAAGCTGTCTACCTTATATAAGGCACAAGTCAACGTTGTGATGGAGTACTCCCGACTTGCCTGGATGAGTGCAACTCCAACAACACTCAGGAAGCTTGACACCATCCAGGGTAAAGCAGCCGACTTGATTGGTACCACATCCACAAACGTAGACTCCCTCCACCACTGATTCTCAATAACAGCAATGTCTACCATCTACAAGAAGCACTGCAGAAATTCACCAAAGCTTCTTTGACAGCACTTTTGAAACCTGCTGCGACTTCCATCTGGAAGGATAAGGGCAGCACATACATTGAGACACCGAGTTCTTTTCCAAACTGCTCACTGTCCTTACTTGAAAGTACTCAATGTTGTTGGGTCAAAATTCTGGAATTTCCGTCTCTAATGGTATTATGAGTCTACCGACAAGCCGTGGAACTGCAGCAGTTCAAGAAGGCAGCTTACCACCACCTTCTCAAGGACAACTAGGGAAAGGTAATAAATGCTGACCCAACCAGCGATGCCTCCATCCCATGAGAGAATGTTTTTTTAAAAAATTGCTTCATCATAAGCTAATGTATGGGTTCTCTGTGAAATTTCATATATAGGGAGAACAGCTCGGACACTGAGGAAAAAGTAATTGGATTTCACAGGACTGTAGTGTATTTGGTTTGAATTCCAAAAGGAGAAGCAAATGGATCCTCAACATCTCCATGATTAAGCGATTGGTTATAAACCTACTCCCCATTCTACTTCCTAAGTCTTGGCAAGCTAAAGTGTTAAATTAGTAGTGCTTACCTTGTGTATTTTTTTATACAGTAAAGGATCTTTTGCATGAAGACATGAACTCTTGCGACGTAAGTTCACTAAATCATTGTGTGTTTGAATTTCTCTTTAAATCTCTGCGCGAGTCACAATACAGCCTTTAATATTCAATGATGGAACAGCGATAGCCTTCTCGGATGGTGAATTGTATGGAATCGCAACAATTGGGGTGAAGTTCCTCCATGGTTCTGTGGTTCACAAGTGTTGTAATTGAGTCACCCACTGTTTCTGTGCTGGAAGGCATGAATTCTAAGCTCCACAAAAATCCTGTGACAAGTTGGTTCTCGACTCCTTTATGTTCCTTATTGTAGACTTACTGCCTGGCTTCCCCCAGTGCATCAATCTGTGTCAGCTTTCTATCCTGTATGAGAATGGTTTGCTCCATGGTGGTCGACTCCGTTGAGTATCACTTGGTGTGGCACAAAAAACTACTGGCATGACATTATTTGCTGCAGAGGAAGACAGTGAACTGAGAAGATATGCAATTCACTGGCCTCTGTTTTCTCTGGGTTTTCTTCTTGGGCAGCTGAGCTTTTCATTTCTGGAAGCTTATTTCCAAGCCCTTACAACAGGTAGCCACCATGAGTCATTGATATCAATAACTATATCCTTGTCATTGTTAGCGTCCCATTCTTAATCTCACTTGAAAATTTTCTTATCATGAAAATTTGGATGCACAGACAATTGTAACTAGTTCACCAGAATGAAGGTCTTTTGAATAAATAGCTGTCAGCCGTCTGATGAATGTGGCCAAACAGTGCATGTATCATTGATTTATCAATAACTCAATGCTGATCAGTTTAGCAGACTCCAGGAGATCACTTGGGGAAGAATTTGTGGGCAACCAATTTTTACCGGCGGCTTGAATAGACTGCCTCTGATCATGTGGTTGAATACCTTGGTCAGATCAATGAAGGCAAAATATAGTGGTCTCCCTCATTCATGATGTGGAGGTGCTGGTGTTGGACTGGGGTGGACATTCAAATTCAAAGCTCACTAGCTTTCAGAGCACTGCTCCTTCATCAGGTGAAGTGTTGATGTCTGTGTCCAATATGCATGATCTTTTTGGAGATCCTCTCCACTTTTAGTCAGCAGTTTGTGGTGTCAATGGTAGCCATGATGTGGAGGTGCCGGTGTTGGACTGGGGTGGACAAAGTCAGAAGTCGCATGACACCAGGTTATAGCCTAACAGGTTTATTTGAAATTGCGAGCTTCCAGAGCGCTGCTCCTTCATCTGGTGAAGTGACTTCACCTGACAAAGGCGCAGTGCTCTGAAAGCTTGTGATTTCAAATAAATGTGTTGGACTATAACCTGGAGTCATGTGACTTCTGACTTTGACCTTCATTCATGGCTGTTCCCTTGCAGTTGCTGGACTGAGGGGATCATGTCAATTCTACATTTTCCAGCCCAGAAATCACAGTGGGATTTGGCAAAGGTACATGTGGTCTACAGTTGTCCAAATGCACCACGCATACATAACTTTGTACGTATCCATCAACCTCCTCCTTCTGGCTGTTATCCTGAAGTCTTCATCGGAGTCCTTTGTAACAGAACACATATTAAACCTCACCCTCTGTTTAACTAGCAGTTTTGCTGTCCTTACTTCTGCCTTAGTTACAGATCACTTATGGCCGGTGTCTCACTATGTGCAGACTCTGTCTCCATGCTATCCTCGAGTTTACACGCATTGACAATCTCTGAATGGATGGCTGTGTCTGAAATTGAACAAAGGGGTATCTTCTTGGTGCATAGTCGTCTTCTTCCTCCACAGCCTGGCCAGGTTGCATTTCTTCCTGAAGATGTAAATATAAGCGTATATTAAAGCTGAATACCTTGGAAAACTTTAGCAGGCTTGGCAGCATCTGTGCGTGGAGAAACAGTTAATTTTGGGATTCAAAAGCCAATCATTTTCTGGAACTGAATAAAGCTTACTGTGAGATGGTGGGGCAGAACATGGAGGATTAGTGATATAAGAGGTGCATTGTGGTCTGAAGTTGAAGTGGACCTGCAAAGGTAGATTTAGTTTGAAGATGCTGTCATGCCCATTTGATTCAGTTTCACCATTAGCTTCAACTTAGCAGTTGCGATTACAATAATTGCAGCACTATCACCTTTATGGAGTTATATATTCATGTCTTCCTCTCGGGCTAGCTCCTGTTACCTTCAGTTGTGTGCAACCTTCACTTGCTGGATAGTGGAAAGTGAGTCGGTGAATGTCATGCAATATGTTTGGTTGATATGGGTGTCATAGTTGAATCACTAGCAGTGACTCCTAGCTGTAAGATGTAGATATAACGCTTGCAACAATGCTAAGCATGTGAGACTTCAGTCAAGAGTATGGATGTTGTCTGAGAGTCCTGATTGATGATGATGATAGCTGAGTCAAATGGCTGTGATGAATCCAAGTATCTCGGGTATACAATTAACAGAATATGGCACGTGCAGATACATTTTCCCTTACAATTCGTGAGATGCCATTGAACTACTTGTGGTACCACAGCCAGATCCTTGGAACTTAACTCCTGGCACTGACCTCTATGGCTTATCTACTTCCACAGGTTCTCAAGTGTTTTTTTCTCAAGGGCTTTCTGAGACTGTGAACAACCATCTTCTTTCCTACTTTCTACCAGCACCAGGGCCTCCATCTGAAAACTTTGAAGCCACTCTCTCCCATGTCGTGCTGTTCTTCATTGTTTCCCAAGTCAAATTCAGTTTCTGAATTACTGCCAGTATTTAGCCACAATACATGTCCCCTTTAAGAGGTGCAATCTAATTTTAAACCTTATAGTGCAGATTTAGTAAATTCTAGGAAGTACAATCTGTACAGTCATTGAACAGTGTGATTACTATTAGCTACATGAAGCCCACATGCTAATGAGCAGATAATATGAAGTTGGTGCGCTGCTTGCATTCCAAACATTGGGTTCAAGTTAATCATGAATCACAATTCCGATGCTTGGTTTCAGGGACTATCCAAATTAGTCTCCCTAACTTTTAGTAGTACTTGTCATTGAGAAATCAACAAATTGATAAGAGAATTTGAGGAAATCGGGTTGTTGATCATTTATTTCTTGTAAGCAGAGAACCAGTTTTATCACTGTAAATCATAAAGCTTGTTCTGTTGGGGATGGAGAAATCTCAAATCTTTATACAAGACGTTACATAGTACAATTTTCACACTTCCCTGTCCAAGTGTCATACCTAATCTGTTGGTTTCCCCACAGTCTTTATAGCCATTGTCTGTATTTCACTTCAAGTCAGTTCTATTTCCTTATGGTGCAGTTCCTATACTTAATAGACTGGCTTCACATGTGATTCCATTTGCTTTTACAATATTTTGAAAAGTTAACCATTAACTGAAGCTGATTCAACCCCTTTATAACCAATTAATAACCTTCCAAATCATTAAAAATTATTTTGTTATTGTTTAATAAAAATATGTAAGGATTATTTTCCTTTCATGAGATCATCTATATATCTATCTATAAGTGATGATCTCTTCTTTGTATTGATGTAGGCCAGCCCTGGACATGGCTCAAAGGATGGAGCTGTCAGAAAAATAGTGATGCGTTCTTATGATTAGCATCAGCTAAAATGTATTTCTGAAAATACATATATTATAGTAATTTGTGGAATGATACAGACTGTCAAGAAAACAGATATTTACAATACTGTTCCCTATTGCTCTCTGGCTTGAAGAGTCTGATATTACGAATGATACTTGTAAAAATGATACTTAAAAAAAAAAATGTATTTCTTTCTTAATAGTCTCTGTGTGCCCAGTACACAGCAGAAAGACGTGAAGAGGAAAAGATGTGTGATCACCTAATACGAGCAGCAAAGTATCGAGACCATGTGACATCCACTCAGCTGGTACAGAAGATAATCAACATTTTGACAGACAAGCATGGTGCTTGGGGAAGTTCTTCACTAAGGTAAATCTGTTGGTTTAAACTTGCAATTTAGTTCAGAATGAAGTCACACCAAGCATTTGCATGAGGTTAGCTTCAATTATTGTTCCTTGACACAATATGAAATATGATATTAGAAATCATTAACCTTCAGCATGGAGATTGTAAGATGTTAAGTCCATCACTACACTCTTGATACAGCTATTCAATTCAGCATTCTGAAATATTGCCTCAAAGTTACATTGAATACACAAGATGCAAGCATATGGAGACCGAGAAGGAATGCCAAATGGTTAGTATTCATCATGAAGCTACTTCACTATTTTCCCTATCCTAATGACCGCTTCACTATGTAAGCGCATCACATAATTAGCACAGACTTTTTGCTTGGTTATGCATTAATAGTGATTGACTGTGGCACATGTCTTCATACAGGTCGTATTGTTTTAAAATCATAGGATTGGTCGTGGATGCTCCCTCTAATATACTTGACAACTGTTTTTGATCTTAAATTTTAATAACTAACCCTAAAATTTCAAAGCATTAATTGATATGCATTGTATTTGAATTTACTTGATAGTCTTTAGTTGTGTATGAAATTGAAATTGTGTTTGAAAGAAAATAAATAGTAAAGAAACTTAACAATAAACCGCCAAATGCATTTAATTGAAACAAAGAAAAGCTGAGTTATTAAAGAAAAAATGCAGTTGTACAGTCAGGAAACAATTCTTTCAAAATCTTGAGCTTGTAAGATTGTGTGACATTCTTTTACATAAATTATTTAATAACTTTCAAATTCTCTCCAATTGTTTAGAAAATGTGCGGCTATTAATAAGTTGACTTTGAAATATTGAATACTGTCAATGTCCAATACAATCAGAAAACGAAAATGCATTCCTTTTATAGTAGCCATGTTTTTTTTTAGAAACAATGTTTCTTCTTGAAATTTCAAGTTTACAAAAATATTGCTTCACATTCCAAATACACCACGAGTTATTGATGGTTTGGACTAGTTCTGTAACTTAAAGGTGGATTTTAAGAGCTGTTGTAGGGGTTTTATATTGAAGTATAAGGAGCTGTAGGTTAGGGAAGATTGCTGGATGAGTAAAACAACTGACTAGCAAAGGCAATATCAGTTCACATGGGAGTAGGATTGTTCTAATCATCATTTGCAATACTGGCAGATGTACTGCAGAAATTCACAGAGCCTCTCTAGACAGTACCTTCCAAACCCATGACCACGACATCTTGTCGGACAAGTACAGCACATGGATTGGAAAATCATCACCCAGTGAGTTCTACTCTAAGCAAACCATAATCTTGTCTTGGAAATATATTGTCATTCCTTCACAATTGCTGGGGCAAAATTCTGGAACTCCCTCTCTATGCAGTCAAACAACAATTTTCTTTGTGACCATTTTTGATTAACTTCTCAAGTTCACCATGCTGCTGTAAATTTCTGAAATTTTAGGAACTCTATCTGCCTCATCACTTCCAGACTAAACAGTCACCTTCTTTAGTGGTCATTCCATTCAGAGTCCCTTTCTTAAACAGTGTTATGGAAAAGGGCAGCAGAGACAGAAGGTCCCTAGAGTGAGGAACCACGCAAAAACTAATTGTCTATTTGGTCCCCTCTGTCACCACAACACTCGAGTTTGCAGATTGTGTACTATTGCGGGCATTATGGGAGCTATATGCACAGTGAAAGTGGTTCACCGGGAGAGTGATCTGTGAGATTCTTTAAGTTGATCAGAAGTTGTGGTCTACATCTTTGGAAGGCAGTAACCATTGACATGAAGTCACTGTATTGTCTGGTTCCCTCAGCAGGAGGCCTGCACAGCATAACTTACGCGGCTTTGAGGACCTGCACTCAGATTCCACTTGGGCAAAGCACTGGAGTTTGTGGTGTATGACTTGCCTTGGGCAACGTAAATGGAGAGGCTAATTTAGTTATACAGGCTGGCTAACTTTTCCAGGATGCAGAGGCATTCAATGCGGCAATGAAAATTTTGTGAGAAACATCTATTTTAAGAACGAGGATGTAAGAGCAGAAGTAGACCATACAGCCCTCTGCACCTATTCCGCCATTCAATGATATCATGGTTGTGCTTACAAATGCATTTTCCTGTCTGTCTCCCATAACATTTAACTACCTTGTTGATCAAAAATCTAACTCTCCTTGAATAAATGCAATGACAAAGCTTTCACTGCTTTCCATCCTAATGACACTTGCGAAAAAAATGACCACAATCTCCATCTTAAAAGGGTGACCTTGTTCTTGACCTCTGTCCACTAGTCTCTGCTTCAAGAGGAAACATCCACTTATCAAACCTCAGGATTTCATTTGTTTCATCAAGAGTGCCTATCATTCTTCTAGGCTCACATGCATACAGTACTAACCTGCCTGCTGATGCTTCATAGAGTTATAGAATCATACAGCTTGGTAACAGACCCTTCGATCCAAGCAGTCCACGCCAAACATAATCTCACAATAAACTGGTCCACCTGCCTGCTCCTGGCCATATCCCTCCAAACCTTTCCGATTCATGTATCTATCCAAATGTCTTTTAAATGTTCTAATTGTACCCTCATCCTCCACTTCCTCAGGAAGTTCATTGCAAGTGCAAACCACCCTCTGTGTAAAGCGTTTGCCTTTCATGACTGTTTAAATCTCTTTCCTCTCATCTTAAAAATATGAGCCCGAGTGTTGAAATCCCCCATCCTAGGGAAAGACAACTACCATTAACTCTGGTTATACCTCTCATTATTTTATAAACTTCTCTCAGGTCGCCTCTCAACCTCCTACGCTCCAGTGGAAAAAGTCCCAGCCTATCCAGCCTTTCTTTATAACTCAAACCTTCCATACCTGGCAATATCCTGGTAAATCTTTTCTGAACCCTCTTCTAGCTTGATAATATCCTTCCTATAACTGGTGACCACAACTGGACACCGTATTCCTGTCCTGTACAACCTGAACATGACTAAATCCTATACTGAAAGGACTGAGCAATGAAGGCAAGCGTGCCACACGCCTTTTTAACCACCCTGTCTATATATTACTCAAACTTCAAAGAATTATGTTTCTGCTCACCTTGGTCCCTGTGTTCTACAACACTACCCAAGGCCTATCCTTGTTCATTGTACCAAAATGCAATACCTCGCATTTATCCAGATTAAACTTCATCTGCCATTTTTCAGCCCATTGACCCATTTGATCAAGATCGCTTTGTTTTTAAAAAAAACTTCTACTATGCCACCAATTTTGGTGTCATCTGCAAACTTCCTAACCATGCCTACTATGTTTTCATCCAAATCATTTATATAAATGACAAACAAAGGAGGACCCAGAGTTGATCGCTGTGGAACACTGCTGGTTACAGACCTTCAGTCCGAAAAGCAATCCTTCACTATTACAGAGATAGTAGGAACTGCGGATGCTGGGCCCCCTTGACCTGTCCCCTTCCTAACTCCCTACCTACACTCACCTTTACTGGCTCCATCCCCGCCTCTTCGACCTGTTTGTTTCCTCTCCACCTATCCTCTCCTCTATCCCTCTTCTATCCACCTCCCACTCTCTCCCTATTTATTTCGGAACCCCCTTCCCCTCCCCCTTTTCTGATGAAGGGTCCAGGCCGGAAACGTCAGCCTCTCTGCTCCTATGATGCTGCTTGGCCTGCTGTGTTCATCCAGACCTTCACTATTACCTTCTGTTTCTCGCTGATAAGCCAGTTATCTATCCAATTGGCAAGCTCACCCTGAATCCCATGTGACCTAACTTTACTAATTAGTCTGCCATGTGGAACTTCATCAAAGGCTTTACTAAAACCCAAATAAACAATGTCTACTGCTCTGCCCTCATCAATCTTTTTGGTAACTTCCTTAAAAAACTCAATCACGTTTGTGAGATACAATTTCCCTCTCACAATACCATGCTGACTATCCCTAATCAATTTTTTTCCTCTCTAAATGTCCATAAATCCTATCTTTTCTAATCACCTCCAACAATTTACCCACATCCAAAGTCAGACTCATAGTTTCTCCTGTTAACCTTTCTTAAACAAAGGTACGACATTAGCCACCCTCCAGTCATCAGGCACCTCACTGTAGTTTTTGATGATGCACGTATTTCTGCAAGGGGTCTCACAATTTTCTCTCTTACTTCCCACAACATTCTGGGATACATTAGATCAGGCCCTGGAGATTTATCCACCTTTATTTCTTTAAGACCTCCCGAACTGTTATTAAAACATCCAAGTTTATTTCTCTGCATTCTCTAGACTCCATTTCTTTTTCCACAATAAAAACTGATGCAAAATATTCATTTAGTATCTCTCCCATCTCCTGGGATTCAACACACAGACATTTTTCTTGATCTTTAAGAAGCCTTACCCTCTTTCTAGTTACCCTCTTGCTCTTAATGTATTTGTAGAATCTCTTTGGATTGTCCTTAACCTTATCTGCCAACGTTATCTCATATCCCCTCTTTGCCCCTATAGTTTTTATATTGATTGCGACTCAATTGAACCAAGTTACCTATATCTAAAATAAGGTTTTCTTTTATTCTTGACTAGAACCTCAGTATGTTTATTCATCCGTTATTCCTTAATCTTACCAGCCTCACTGTTCACTTTAACAGGGACATAATGCCTCTGAACTCTCGTCATCACACTCTTGAACGCCTTCCACTTGTCAGACGTCCTTTTACCTGCAAACAGTTTACACCAATCAACTTTTGAAAGTTCTTGTCTCATACCGTTAAAATTTGCCTTACTCCAATTAAAAGCTTTAACTTTTATGGAAGGCTTATCCTTTTCTTATAACCATTTTGAAACTAATAGAATTATGATTGCTAGACCCCACTTTTACTTCAGTCACCTGCCCTCCCTTATTGCCCAAAAGAAGGTCTAGTTTTGCTTCTTCTCTAGCAGGAGCATCCGCATATTGATAAAGAAAATTTTTTGAACACATTTGACAAATTCTTCACCATCAAAACATTTAACACTGGTAGCCCCAGTCAATGTTCA